GTATTGCAAAGCATGACACACATTTAAGTATCTCGAAGTCATCGCAGTGCTTCACTGGCGCATTTTCCTTGCCGTGACTCTCTGATTGGTGGGATTTCTGCACAGCATTATGGGTAATGTAGTTTTTCACCAAGAATTCCACTGTCAAACATGATTATTTTAAAACTAAGCGGGCTGACAGCTTCCAAAAGAAGTAAATACCATCAGTTAACATCCTCGTAGCTCCCTGTCTTTTAATGGTTTATACGTTATCTTTAATAATCCTTTCTTATATAGAGAAAACTATTGGAGTTTTTACTTCTGGAACCTTTTTTAGATTTTCATACTGTAATATAGAGTTACAAGTTATATAGGATAATTTATTTATTTGTATAACAGTAATGAGTGATTATTTTGCATTGCATAAATGAGAATAATGCCACAATACATGCAAATAGTTGTTGTTTTTTTATGAATGAAACATGCATCGTCCTGAAAATAATGTCTTCTGTTCTCGTATGGTAAAGAATATATCGCTGTTCTTCTAGTTCCATCTGAAGATAAATGTATGAATCGACAGGACAGAGCCTTTTTGAGTTTTTGTCATCTGCTGTTCTGGTTTCTGATTGGATAAAATTTTGTGTGTATTGGTTCATGGTGAATAATTTCCTAAAAAGCTTTTATATAGGTTAGTAGTGTGTATCCTGTTGCATAAAAGCAACATATTATTCTGAATACTTGTTTGAATCCGTCCAACACAATCTACTATTCATTCTTCCTCAATCTCCGGTTTTTATCAACAGGATGAAATAACAGTCTGTGCCGCTTCACATGACGACAGCTCTTGCACTATTTTAGGCTAATATGGAAATTTCATTTTTCATGAATTTTGCTTTCGGTGTCGCGCTTGACATAATTAAGATATTAAATTTGCAAAGTCTTCGAGCATGCCGTGTGCTGATCCAGAATCAAGTCACTTTATGGTATGGGCATATAGATATATCTTCCAAACCACTGAAATAGTCCTTTGTAAACGATTTAAACAATTCCTTTTATTCTGAAGTTAGTTTCTTGTATATGCTTGTTGATTACATTTCTGATTTAAATTATACTTTAATTCAGCAAGGATGCATTAAATTGATCAGCATTTATAATGTTTCCAATACATTCTGTTGAATTTGTTCAAAGAATCCTTAAATCTCCAGTTTGCACAGAAATATGAAGCAGAACAACGCTTTTAAACACTGATCATATTAGAGTGATCATGTGACACTGAAGACTGGAGTAATTAAGTTTTGATCAGCTTCAATAAATTACACTTTACTATATATTCACATAGAAAACAGTTATTTTAATTTACAAAAATATTTTTAAAAATGTACTATGTTTGATCAAATAAATGCATTTTGTGAAATCTAACCCATACCCAAACTTTTAAACACTACTGATTTTTAAAACCCTTTCCAGCTTGTTTATGGCGTTTGCTTATGGTCTTATATGAATAATTACATCTAAAATGTTTTTCTTCCTTATTATGGCACCAAATACGTGTGACGCTGTGGCCTTTCTGTCCTTTGTCTGGTTGTATTGCATTAGCACTTCAGTTGTTGCCTTGACCTATAAATGGTTTTCAATTGTGTTTTGATGTCAAATGGTGCTTTCCTGAAAGGAGGGAGAAGAGTACAACAATTTAAGCAGGACTTAACAGGATTTTATGCTCACCAATAGTAGAAATCAGGTCAGGGTGAGACTGAAGCACAAATGCGCTTGAGTAACCAGCAGTCAACGCTTTTACATTTACATTTACATTACATTTAGTATAAAGCATAATACTTCAGCAAAAGTTCCCACAAGGCTATAAAACGTGATATTTTATATTATTTTGGGGTGGACAATATTTCAGTCCATGAGTAACTTTATTTGTATTAACAAAAAAAAACTAGCTTGGGACTGTTATTTATTAGCCTTCGTTCATCAGCGTTAGTGAAGTTCTGATACTGTATGTGTATGTTCTGTAAAAGTGTGTGTTTATAAACCAATTTTGAGAAGTAAATTTGCTTGGTTCGACTACCTAAAAACTTGGGTCGTGACTTGAAGCACTAGTTCACTTCAGAATTAAAATGTCCTGATAGTTTCCTCTCCTGCACATCATCTAAGATGTTCACGTCTTTCTTTCTTCAGTCGAATAGAAATTAAGGTTTTTGAGGAACACACTTCATTATTGTTCTCCATATAATGGACTTCAGTGGGTTCCAACGGGTCCAGATGTGAGTTTCAGTGCATCTTCAAAGTCTCAACATGATTCAGCCGAGGAATAAGAGTCTGATCTAGACAAACCAGCGGATATTTAGAACAAAATACATATTTATAATACATATAAAACTCAGCGTATCGGCTACTAAACTCAGCGTATCGGCTACTAAACCCAGCGTATCGGCTACTAAACCCAGCGTATCGGCTACTAAACCCAGCGTATCGGCTACTAAACCCAGCGTATCGGCTACTAAACCCAGCGTATCGGCTACTAAACCCAGCGTATCGGCTACTAAACTCAGCGTATCGGCTACTAAACTCAGCGTATCGGCTACTAAACTCAGCGTATCGGCTACTAAACTCAGCGTATCGGCTACTAAACCCAGCGTATCGGCTACTAAACCCAGCGTATCGGCTACTAAACCCAGCGTATCGGCTACTAAACCCAGCGTATCGGCTACTAAACCCAGCGTATCGGCTACTAAACCCAGCGTATCGGCTACTAAACCCAGCGTATCGGCTACTAAACCCAGCGTATCGGCTACTAAACCCAGCGTATCGGCTACTAAACTCAGCGTATCGGCTACTAAACTCAGCGTATCGGCTACTAAACTCAGCGTATCGGCTACTAAACTCAGCGTATCGGCTACTAAACTCAGCTTATCGGCTACTAAACTCAGCTTATCGGCTACTAAACTCAGCGTATCGGCTACTAAACTCAGCGTATCGGCTACTAAACTCAGCGTATCGGCTACTAAACTCAGCGTATCGGCTACTAAACCCAGCGTATCGGCTACTAAACCCAGCGTATCGGCTACTAAACTCAGCGTATCGGCTACTAAACCCAGCGTATCGGCTACTAAACCCAGCGTATCGGCTACTAAACTCAGCGTATCGGCTACTAAACCCAGCGTATCGGCTACTAAACCCAGCGTATCGGCTACTAAACTCAGCTTATCGGCTACTAAACTCAGCTTATCGGCTACTAAACTCAGCTTATCGGCTACTAAACTCAGCGTATCGGCTACTAAACTCAGCGTATCGGCTACTAAACTCAGCGTATCGGCTACTAAACTCAGCGTATCGGCTACTAAACCCAGCGTATCGGCTACTAAACCCAGCGTATCGGCTACTAAACTCAGCGTATCGGCTACTAAACTCAGCGTATCGGCTACTAAACTCAGCGTATCGGCTACTAAACTCAGCGTATCGGCTACTAAACTCAGCGTATCGGCTACTAAACTCAGCGTATCGGCTACTAAACTCAGCTTATCGGCTACTAAACTCAGCTTATCGGCTACTAAACTCAGCTTATCGGCTACTAAACTCAGCGTATCGGCTACTAAACTCAGCGTATCGGCTACTAAACCCAGCGTATCGGCTACTAAACCCAGCGTATCGGCTACTAAACCCAGCGTATCGGCTGCTAAACCCAGCGTATCGGCTGCTAAACCCAGCGTATCGGCTGCTAAACTCAGCGTATCGGCTGCAAAACTCAGCGTATCGGCTGCAAAACTCAGCGTATCGGCTACTAAACTCAGCGTATCGGCTACTAAACTCAGCGTATCGGCTGCTAAACTCAGCGTATCGGCTGCAAAACTCAGCGTATCGGCTACTAAACTCAGCGTATCGGCTACTAAACCCAGCGTATCGGCTACTAAACCCAGCGTATCGGCTACTAAACCCAGCGTATCGGCTACTAAACCCAGCGTATCGGCTACTAAACTCAGCGTATCGGCTAATAAACTCAGCGTATCGGCTGCTAAACTCAGCGTATCGGCTGCAAAACTCAGCGTATCGGCTACTAAACCCAGCGTATCGGCTACTAAACCCAGCGTATCGGCTACTAAACCCAGCGTATCGGCTACTAAACCCAGCGTATCGGCTAATAAACTCAGCGTATCGGCTGCTAAACTCAGCGTATCGGCTACCGAGACCATAGAGAGTCGAGTCCGAGACCAGAGAGGGTTGATTACCTAATTTACTTTTATTTACTTACAGAAATCCTTTTTTTATTTTACTGAATTTACTTAGAGTTTAAAAAATATGATCAGTTTAGGGTAAAAAGGCCACATAGTAGGTGGTGTTAAAAGTAATTTTATTACAATTTGTCATGCGCAGTTGTGCACTAGAAAATCAGCAATCACTGGGCGTGTCAATCAATTTAAAGAAATATTTTATTAACATACATTAATAATCATGAAAAATATTTTGAATTGAACTGGAGTGGACTCGGGAATAAGTCCGAGTCCTAAAAAAAAAAATGTTCGAGTACGAGTCAATTCCGAGTCCAAATGGACACGAGTCCATGACAAGACCAACACCATTAAAATATGGTCTCGAGACCGAGTCCGAGTCTCGAGTACTACAACACTGATAAAAATTATATAAATGTGTATTTTGTTCTAAATGTCGGCTGATTTGTCTAGATCAGACTCTTATTCCTCGGCTGGATCGTATCGAGACTTTGAAGCTGCACTGAAACTCACATATGAACCAATTGGACCCCATTGAAGTCACTATATGGAGAAGCATCCAGGAGTGTGTTTCTCAAAAACCTTAATTTATTTTCCACTGAAGAAAGAAAGACGTGAACATCTTGGATGACGTGCGGGAGAGTAAACTATCAGGACAAGTGAACTAATGCTTTAATGACCATGGGAAAATATGTTCCCATGACCAAACCACTGAAGAATCTCTGGCTCAGCTTGTCGTGTCGTGCTTTAAGTGAATATGTTGTGTGTTTGTCTCTTATATGTGTGTACTAGGAATGCCAGTCCTATAGGGGTGGTCCTGACCGCAGTGGTGGCCGTCTCCTACAGAGTAGCTATTACATGTGAAGGGTAAGTGTGTTATCAGAATCACATTTTCAACTAAAAACTGACAGCTTTTTTTAATGTGTTCATTTACACGACAACGGCATTTTGAGGGCCTGAAAACACACATTTTTGGTTTTAAATGTGAACGTTTTTGAAAACTATTCCATTATTGTCTCCATGTAAACTACAAAAATGCAATGGAGTATCGCAATAATATTGTATCTTGAGTTCAGTATCGTGATATGTGTTGAATCGTGACGTGAGGGTATCGCTACACCCCTAATGGTCTTGTTTCCTTTCTTCTGAGACACAAAAAACATCCGTTCTGAGTCTGAGATGCTCTAAGATTGATGCAAGTAAAGGTCAGCACACTCGGACAGAAAACCTGCCAACTTTTCTCCATAGCGACAGGAATAAATGTGGGAATATACTCGCACTGTAAAGTCTCTATGGCGACAGTGGCCGTGAGAGAACTGAACTTTAATAGCACTGACACAAAAACAGCAATAGCTTCTGCAAGTCTGGCCTGAGCGTGCCGACCGACGAGGACAGATCGTCTCAGTTACACACGACTCCGTCTCCCACTGAACACAGCGCGCCAACATCAATTTACACCAGAATGTGGAAGAAAAACCACGCATTGACAGACTGGACTGTTCTGTTCTACACGCATGCATGCACACACACACACACACACACACATATATATATATATATACAGTCAAACCAAAAATTATTCAGACACCAGATATAATGTTTTGTAAATGTTTACTAGTGTGTGCAGGACATATTTATGCAAATGAGGAGAGCAAAATAAAGTTGTGACATATTATACCTAAATATTCTTCATACAGTGACTAACAGTAAAATTAATAAATATTTGGCAGCAAAAGTGTGTGTTTTCTGTAACTGCTAATGCTCTTTTTACACACACACTGAGCAACATGAAGCATTGCTTGGTCACTGGTTGAGCTAAACTGGTATTATCTAATTGTGTAGTTAAATTTAACAGATATTCAACATAATTCATGCGTGAGAGTCCAACTGAAGCACGGACAAAACCAGTCAAATATCCACTGATCTGAGAACTTCTAGTTAATAAACTGTGATAATGTGAGAAATGTTGAAGGTGTCTGAATACATTTGGGTTGGACTGTATATATTAGTATAATGATACATGTATTCATCCTGTATTCGGTTCATACAGTCAGACGATGAATGCACAGACGATTCACACTCCAGTCCATAAGGGGGCGTGTGTGGTAATGCAACACTGTTTGCTAACCGGTAAACAGGTAAAAGAGCAGAAGAAATGAAACGATACACACAGACCCAAAACAAGAGTTCAGAAGCACAAAAGAGCTTAGCCGATACGCTGAGTTTAGTAGCCGATACGCTGAGTTTAGCAGCCGATACGCTGAGTTTAGTAGCCGATACGCTGAGTTTAGTAGCTGATACGCTGAGTTTAGTAGCCGATACGCTGAGTTTAGTAGCCGATACGCTGAGTTTAGTAGCCGATACGCTGGGTTTAGTAGCCGATAAGCTGAGTTTAGTAGCCGATACGCTGGGTTTAGTAGCCGATACGCTGAGTTTAGTAGCCGATACGCTGAGTTTAGTAGCTGATACGCTGAGTTTAGTAGCCGATACGCTGAGTTTAGTAGCCGATACGCTGAGTTTAGTAGCCGATAAGCTGAGTTTAGTAGCCGATACGCTGGGTTTAGTAGCCGATACGCTGAGTTTAGTAGCCGATACGCTGAGTTTAGTAGCCGATAAGCTGAGTTTAGTAGCCGATACGCTGGGTTTAGTAGCCGATACGCTGAGTTTAGTAGCCGATACGCTGAGTTTAGTAGCTGATACGCTGAGTTTAGTAGCCGATACGCTGAGTTTAGTAGCCGATACGCTGAGTTTAGTAGCCGATACGCTGAGTTTAGTAGCCGATACGCTGAGTTTAGTAGCCGATACGCTGAGTTTAGTAGCCGATACGCTGAGTTTAGTAGCCGATACGCTGAGTTATAGCCGATACGCTGAGTTTAGTAGCCGATACGCTGAGTTTAGTAGCCGATACGCTGAGTTTAGTAGCTGATACGCTGAGTTTAGCAGCAGATACGCTGAGTTTAGTAGCCGATACGCTGAGTTTAGTAGCCGATACGCTGAGTTTAGTAGCCGATACGCTGAGTTTAGTAGCCGATACGCTGAGTTTAGCAGCCGATACGCTGGGTTTAGTAGCCGATACGCTGAGTTTAGTAGCCGACACGCTGAGTTTAGTAGCCGATACGCTGAGTTTAGTAGCCGACACGCTGAGTTTAGTAGCCGATACGCTGAGTTTAGTAGCCGATACGCTGAGTTTAGTAGCCGATACGCTGAGTTTAGTAGCCGATACGCTGAGTTTAGTAGCCGATACGCTGAGTTTAGTAGCCGATACGCTGAGTTTAGTAGCCGATACGCTGAGTTTAGTAGCCGATACTCTGAGTTTAGTAGCCGATACGCTGAGTTTAGTAGCCGATACGCTGAGTTTAGTAGCCGATACGCTGAATTAAGTAGCCGATACGCTGAGTTTAGTAGCTGACACGCTGAGTTTAGTAGCCGACACGCTGAGTTTAGTAGCCGATACGCTGAGTTTAGTAGCCGATACGCTGAGTTTAGTAGCCGACACGCTGAGTTTAGTAGCCGATATGCTGAGTTATAGCCGATACGCTGAGTTTAGTAGCCGATACGCTGAGTTTAGTAGCCGATACGCTGAGTTTAGTAGCCGATACGTTGAGTTTAGTAGCCGATACTCTGAGTTTAGTAGCCGATACGCTGAGTTTAGTAGCCGATAAGCTGGGTTTAGTAGCCGATACGCTGAGTTTAGTAGCCGATATGCTGAGTTTAGTAGCCGATACGCTGAGTTTAGTAGCCGATACGCTGAGTTTAGTAGCCGATACGCTGAGTTTAGTAGCCGATACGCTGAGTTTAGTAGCCGATACGCTGAGTTTAGTAGCCGATACGCTGAGTTTAGTAGCCGATACGCTGGGTTTAGTAGCCAATATGCAATGATTGGTTTTTACTGTAAGTTTTCACAAACAAAATATAAAAATAGACCCTTTACAGTTTTGATGATGATCAAATGATGAATAAATTCTTGCTCTTATCTGTATGACCATGACTGACGGAGTATTTTAGGTTGTTGTTTTTTTTCGCTGTTATAATGAGACAAAATCATCACCTATCTCGCCAATTGTGTTGCGGAAGTCTCACTAACGTTGTGAAATATGTGCGTCTTGTAAAGATGAACGAGACTCAGAGCACCTTTTCTCCTCCTCGCTGGTCTTTCTGTGAATTCTTGAAAAAGTGTAATATTAAACTTTGTGCGTCCGCCATCGTCACAGCATGTTAATGAACTGTCATGTTAGTGTCTTCTCTGTACCGTTACTCCCCTAATATATATATATATATATATATATATGTGTATTAAAAAGGAGTTTATTGATTTAAAGGAGTTTATCCTCCAGAGTGAACAGCACTGTGTCCATGGCAACGCTGTTTTTCATGGCAATGGTGTTTTAATTAGCAGACCACATTCTACAGTACATTATAATTCAACCAAGCCATGTAATATATACGTATATATATCGCCTAATGAATAGACCATAAAACTGCTCATATATTTTCTGAAGGTCAATCACCTCATTTCACTAACAATTAGTTGTGTCATTATTGACTATGAGTCGCAGGCCTTATATCTGACCTATTTATGGACAGCGCCACACGCGCACACACACACACACACACACTTGCAAGGTGTCAGGCACAGACTGGTACGTTTCTTAACGTAGCACTTGTGTGTGTGTGTGTGTGATGTTTGCAGACCATTCACTGAGGAGATCTATCGGCAGAGGAGCCAGCGCTGCAAGCACAACTAAAGATGAAATGTGTGTGTAAAGATAAAGTGTGTGTGTAAAGATGACCCCAGACTCCCGATCCGTGCTATTGCATGGGGAATCACGCGGATGCACAGCACACACTTCTTCAACACTTCGACTGCAATGTTTAAGATTTCATTTCACACAGAAGACAAACCGTGAATGCAATGACAATCCTCAATTGTAATCTGTAGTTTGACATCACATATAATAACCATAAAATGTTTTTATTCGCTCAATCTGTTCCTAATGCACATGCATGCTGAAATCCGCTGTTTTAGGGTCCAGTTAAACGTACTTCGATCTGTTTTATTTTTGCGGAAGCACTTTTTTCTTTCCAAAGGTAAATCTAATCTTTGAGCATTTACACAAACTTCCTCGTTTTCCACTGGCGCTGATCAGGGATTCACAAACGTCTTTTTGTCAGCCAAACCCCTTAAATGTGAAATATGTAATTGAAGTATGACTTAAATATAATAATTCAACAACATATTCTCATTTTCTTAGTTCTTTGATGTCAGATAATGGTCACACATGATGACATGACAGTAAAGTAAATAAAATATTTAATGATTTTGTCTCTAAGTGGCGTCTTTTATTTATGATAGTGACTCAGTCCATATTAAATTCACACTGGTGTTGTACTAATACTAATAATATTTAATGTCTAATTTTTTTAATGTTCAAACTCGAATGCAGCAAAATTGTTTAACTTTAACTATATCATGTGATTATCACTTTATTTTGATGCTGCCCAACAGATATTATTGACTATAACTTTATAAATACATGTCAAGTCATTAGAGTATCACTCATAACACTTCATTTTGACGTCACTCTGCTGACTATAAGTAGCTTTGCAACTACAACTACTTTGAATTATGTTGAATATCTGTCAGCTGTTAAAGGAGTAGTTCACTTTTAAAAAAAAAGAAGTGTCTCCTCTCTTACATAAATGAACTCTAGCACACACTAGCAAACACATATGAAAAATGATATCTGCTGTCTGAATAATGTGCAAAGTCAGCAGAATAACATCAAAAATAAAGGTTATCAGAAGTAGACATTGACATTTTATTGAAGTGCTACCAGTATTGTAAACCAGTCAACCTTTGACCCTTTGACCGGACCAATGGAACAGACTCTAAAGGATTTTGGGGTTTCATAAAGGATCCCATGAGCCCACTGGTATTTGATGTCGTCAGCATGATAACAAAACCGAATCAATCGGCTTCAGTCTCTCAGACGTCATATCTCAGCTTGACAATCTCTCTAAGAAAATATTACACATGCAAATGTTCCAAAATACAGGCTCCAGATCAGACTGTGTTTTTAGAACAAAGTAATCAATCTGTTTATCTGTGCATTGTGCCGAAAATTCATTTTCTGAATATACAATAGAGAAAAAAAAAAGATCAGTATCCATTTGCATGGAATAATATTTAGTGTTTAGTGCCAAACGCGCTCTGTGTCGGCTCAGCTTTTCGTTTTTGGTTATTTTCATGAACTGGATTGGCTTGACGAATAGAAAAGCATCCAATTTTCTTCTTTAATTTATGCCGTAATAACTTTTCTCTTCCTCTGTTCCAGTGCCTTTTGGTTCGTCCACACTATAATATTTGACGTTTGAGGCGTCAGAGAGTTTCTTGCGCTGCTTATTCTCTCTGCGAAATGCCAAAAAACAATCATATTTTACCCTAAGTGAGAAATTGCAGTCATTGTGAAGAGTTAAAATGGCCAGACACTGTTAAATAGAAACCTCAAACCAGGTTAATCGCATCCAAAATAAAAGTTTGTGTTTACATAATATATGTGGGTGCACTGTGTATAATTATTTTGTATATATAAATACACACACATGCTTTTATATATTTAAAAAAAAAATTTCATGTATATAGATTTATATATAATTTATATTATATATAAATATCAATATTTTATATATAAATAATATTTTTTTCTTAAATATACATGCATGTGTGTGTATTTATATATATATATATATATACAAAATAATTATACACAGTGCACCCACATATATTATGTAAACACTAACTTTTATTTTGGATGCGATTAATCGTTTGACAGCCCTAATATATATATATAAAAGCACACACATGCATGTATATTTAAGAAAAAATATTATTTATATATAAAATATTTATAATATAAATTATATATAAATCTATATACAGTATATACATTAAAATATTTCTCAAATATATACAAGCATGTGTGTGTATTTACATATATATATATATATATATATATATATATAATAATTATACACAGTGCACCCACATATAAACACAAACTTTTATTTTGGATGTGATTAATCGTTTGACAGCCCTAGTTTAAATGTCAAGTTTGAATCATTTTAATGAGACTTATTATTATATAATAACCTTCATCCACGTGTGACTCTTGATTACCTGTTCTATTACATATACTTGTTGAAAACAACTTCTTTTAGCATACTTTAAAAACAGTAGTTATTACTGTAAAACTTAAGTGCGAACTAAATGTTTCAATTGCATATTTTATATGTGTATAAAATGTGTATTAAATGCATTTAATTGAACTTTAGAGTGCTTTTTAGCTCACTTAAATACAGTAATTTCATAATTATGTTTAACTAAAACATACTTTAATGTCATTTCTGTTGAAACTTGTATGTCATGTAGTTGAATATATTTGCAATTACACATTTGAAATGTTGAAGTTGCAATTTAGTACATTTAAAACAATAAAGTCCACATGCTTTAATGTGTTAGTCAGCACATCAAAATCAGTGTTTAGAGCATTATTAAACAATGATTTCAAATGTAATGTTAAACTTTTAATTGCAGCAGTCATGAAAGTGCGCACACATAAGATGCCTTTTATTTCTTTAATATTACAGTTTTTTAAATATACTTTAAGTTCACATTTAAAACATTTTACCCTGACTGCTTTTTCTTATGATTTTACTTGAATAAATTGTATTTAAATGAAAATAACATGTTGCAAAAACAATTTTTAAGGACAATCAACTTGGATGTTTAAGTCATTCCAACTTAAATTATCTTAAGCTGACTTTAAAAAATGAGCTGAATCGTGGATAATTAAAACAAAAGTTGGGAATTGCGTAACTTATTTTGATGCGTTAAAGCAATGTAAAAACGTATGTTGTCATAACTAACTTATTAATCATATTTTTTTCAGTGTAGCGGCCATCTGTATATAGAGGAAGGCTTTTTTTCCTCGCAGCGACAATACACTGCTTTTCTTTACCATATGACTCATGCTTTCTTTTCTCTGACACTTTCTGGCACTCGTTCTTTTGCCTTGCATTCACCTCTCTCTGTCTCTCTCTCTCCTTACATACACTTTTCCCTCGTCCTCTAATAAACTGGATTATTAAATTACACTGAGAGCTGACACACATACATAAATACACGCAAATAAGCAATCCACTCGGGTCTTTATAAATGTCAGGGCTCAGGTCGTGATTTTTGACCGTGCTGGACTGTGGGAATAAAGACTCGGCTCACTCTTACTCACTTAATTAGCCATTTAGCCTTAATTAGACACTAATCAAGACAATTACGTTTCATGGGAAAAACCATTTGAAACTCTATTGCAATGAATTTAAAGGAGTAGTTCACTTTCAAAAAAAAAAACTTTAGCTGATAATTTACTCACCCTCATGTCATCCAAGATGTCCATGTCTTTCTTTCTTCAGTCGAAAAGAAATTAAGGTGTTAAATGAAAACATTCCAGGATTTTCTCCATATAATGGACTTCAATGGGGTCCAAACGGTTCAAGGTCCAAAAGAGAGTTTCAGTGCGGCTTCAAAGGGCTGTAAACGACTCCAGATGATGAATAAGGGTCTTATCAAGCGAAACGATCGCTCATTCAATAAATAAATAATAAAGTTTAAGTTTTATAAGCTCAAATGGTCGCCTTGCTCTGTTCTGTGATGCGCGTTCGTGACTCTCCTGTTCAAACTCGTTCATCAAAATGAACTAATCTTTTTTCAAGTCATTTGGTTCATTCAACGATCGAAATTAACGAATTGACTCGGAAAAATATTCGTTAATTTTGATGAACGACTTCGAACAGGAGAGTCACAAACACGCATCACAGAACAGAGCAAGGCGAGCATTTGAGCTTATAAAATTTAAACTTTGTTATTTATTTATTAAATGAGGGATCATTTCGCTTGATAAGACCCTTATTCATCGTCTGGAATCGTTTAAAGCTCTTTGAACAGTTTGTAGTTTGCACTGAAACTGTCTTTTGGACCTTGAACCGTTTGGACCCCATTGAAGTCCATTATATGGAGAAAATCCTGGAATGTTTTCATCAAAAATCTTAATTTCTTTTCGACTGAAGAAAGAAAGACATGGACATCTTGGATGACATGAGGATGAGTAAATTATCAGCAAAAGTGTTTTTTAAAGGTGATTTGGTGTTGACTGGATGTGTGTTAGACTTATTATTTATTTTTACCTCACATTTGTTGGTTTTTATGTTATTTCTTAAGTCTCAAGGATGCATTGATTTGAGAAAAATACGGTAGAAAAAAGTATTAATCTAAAATCTAAAATAGTGATATGTGAATATACAGTAAAGTGTAATTTATTCCTGATCAAAGCATCAAGTGTCACATGATCCTTCACAAATCACTCTAATATGATGATTTGATGCAATTTACCATAGGTATAGTTTTCCTTTTATGTTCAGTGGATGAAGACAAATGCTCAAAAAGCTCATTTCAACTCAAAAATGGCCTTACTACACAAAGATCTTAAACGTACACTTCAAACAGCTTCTAACTCTTCTCTGATGGGAATGAGAAGTGTTTTAGGGCGCAGATTTTAAATGTCGAGGTGTGGAAATATAATCAGCTGTAAAGGTCATTATCACTCATGCTCATCATGGACATCTAGAAAGCGTGTGTCTTATTTGCACAAGTTTATCCGTGTTGTTCCTCACTGTCTGTGTGCCATGCATCGGCTTTCATCCGTTCTGTACTTTAAAACAGATCATCTGATCCATGTTGCGTGCTGGTATCTCTCTCTTTTGTTTCACTCATAATGAGCTCCTGTGTGCATTTTTCGTCACTCCTTTGTTTCAAAGTAAAGCTCATTATAATCACCTGCTTTTTCAGTTTCTCTTGCATAATGCATTGATTTGTCATTTCACGCTGCACTGGTTGACGATCACACGTTAATCTGATTGGTTACAAGGTGGTTGTGACGTCAGAAACACCAGCGATTTCACACCGTGTTTTTGAGACTGTCTTTGGTTCACTGCAGTTTTAAGGAGGAAATACTCAGCAATGCTGTCCACTTATCAACGCACACACGGTGCGTGTTAAAAACACCTCAAAGACACATAAACAACATTAAAGCTAGATACACTTTTCATTTTAATAATGTGTTGGTAAATGTTTAAATTAACATTTAACTAAGATGCTTTCGAAGTATTTTTCATTGATAGTTTATGTTAACCAATGTTATAAAATGCAACCACATCGTAAAGTTTTACCAGATTATTTTAAGGAATATTGCACTGTTTCAGTGAAAGGTAAACACTA